CACACACACACACACACACACACACACACACACACACACACACACACACACACACACACACACACACAAACCAGAAGTTTCTGATTAAATCAATCAGAATTTTGATTATCTCAACTAGAATTTCAGTATAGATTTTAACCAGAAAATTTTCTGATTATAATTCTACTAAAAAATTTTGTAGTTAAATCTACTAAAATTTTAGTTGAGACCGGAATTCTGATAGGTATAATCAGAATCTTCTGGTTTGTGCATTTTTAACCAAACATTTTTCTCAATGCAGGAAAATATGAGCCAAGAATTAAACATTCAGACGAGTCGAAAAACCTTGTCACTATAGTGTATACATATTTGCTACCGATTTAAATTAAAAACATCCAAAAGTGGGAAATACTGTCCGTCCTAGTCGACTCATTCCACGAAATATGAAGTTATCTCGCGATGCGGAAAGTCCGACGGTAACAAGAGACGTGAAATGTATAAATTACGCTGCAATAAATCCAATCTCTGTAATAAATCCAACTCCTTCGTGCATATGTACTCGGTGCAGAGTCGACGGCCAACAGATATACAATAATATATCTTTTGTATGCGCAACGCTCTAAAAATTCCATCTTATAAACTCTACGTTTGGAGAGATGCGTTCGCAGTAGGAAGATTCAAGTACCATCGGAGATCATAATCGCGCAGTTAACCCACTTTCTTACAAGTTTGAAAAGACTGATATAAATTTAATTTTCTCAAACTCTTCGCACGCTTTAAGATCATTTTGTCAGGTTCTTGAAAGAAGAGACACCTTTGTACTAAACTCTTCAAAATCCTATTAAAGATCAACAATTCAATAAAGTAAATAGGAAAGTCAATTTGTTTTACAAACTGTTTTTCACGACTTCAGGATTGTACGTGTCAATTATGATCATTTGTAATTCTGACTGTTTGTAATGACACTTATTACGTTATGCTACGAACGTCATATAATGTTCACCAAAGTGTTAACACACTAATCACCATGTCAACGACCGAGGACTAACACAATGTTATGTCGCTCACGTTGTGTCAACCACCGGCAGGTAACGTATTAAAGCGATACGTCGACAAATTGAATTTCGCAAACCGCAGGCAAAACGCAGTGCCGTAACTACGATTATAGATAATTTTGAGTAAATTGCATATAATTGCATATAATATTTTAAAATTATAAAGACAATTAAAAGTTATCATAATTTATAGCCTTTGGCCACATTCGTCTCCTAAAAATATTCAACACTAATAAACAACAAAGTAAAAAACTGTATTTGTGTTACATTATCAGTATCTATAGTATATTAGATTTTATTTAGATTGTGTTTTTACTTTTTTATTTGCCTCCTAATCTAGAGTTTTTTAGTTGTGTTTATAATAGCTGTCTGAAAAAAATTAATATACAATCTTTTCTTTTAATTTAATAAATTTAATAAATAAAACTCTGTACTTGGACAAATTTTCCTGGTTACTTATCATTTATGTACATTAGATTTATCAGAACATATTTATATAAATTTTACGTTCTTACTCTCATTAGTTTTGTTTTCACGTATTACGTGGCTGTAAAAGTGCTCCTGGCCACTTATATTTCAGGACTACTGCGTTCGATAACCGCAGCGGATATTGTTTAAGAGAGAAATGTAAGCAGATAGTAATCGGAATTGGTGGAAGAGGAACCCTCGATCGTGTCATTTTCGTGCGTCCGAAGAATTTCCATTATCTTAGAGACATCCTTTTTGCTCGCCATTTTGTTTTCTTTTCCTTTTCTCCTTTTCTCCGAAAGATAGGAAAACTGATGAAAGGAGAAAGAAAAGAAACGGGAGAAAGCCAGAAATAAATGTCGCTGAGATAAAGTTACACGCGACTGTGTCGCATTCCTAGCAAATTCTTTCCAAATATCTTACGAGAGAGATACTATACCATATTATATAAACTTTATTATATAAACAATATTTTCCTCAAAATATATTGGATGCGTTATTTTATTGTTTTTTTCTTATTTAGAAATTTAGCACGCAGATATTCAAAAGTGTGAAATCTTGTCGAGGCGTTTCGAATCTGTCGTGCATTTCCGAGACTGTTATTTCCTTCTTATGAATGTTATTATTCGCGATTTAGTCGAAGCTCTTGAAATTGCGATCGTTGCTGCTGGAAGCAGCCGTTGCGATTTTATGCCATTTTTAGGATCTCGTTTTCTAGCGACAAAATTTATTTTATTTCTCCCATGTCGATTCTAAGGTAAGCCCGGGAGCTACTTATCGCGTGTCTTCCGCGGACGGGTCTAAATTACGACCGCGGTTTTTGGGTCAACCGAATATCCTCGGGGATATTTTCGAGAGAACTATTAACGCGACAAGAAATAGATGAGATAGGCACGAGAAAATGGCTGCGAAAGGCATCGAAAGTCGTTTTAATTGAACACTCAGTTGGTCTCTGCCGTGACACGAAGGTAAAAATTGTTTCATTTCCAGTTACATCCGGTTCTCCGATCTATTTTCTCGCTCGATCCCTTTATTCATTTAGAGCAACTAACTTGCTTCACAATAGCACGTTTAAAGTGTTCTATCAAAGTAGATCTTTTTTATAACTCTTCGTAAACAATACGAATGATAGTATCGCACCTTGGAAAAAAAGTCACAGATCAAAAAAGGGCATCTTTAAAAAACAAAATTGAAAAATTCGATTCGGCTAGGATTAAAAAGTTACTCGCATACAAGCCGGAATCACCATCGTTAGAATTACATTTAAATTGAATGCGTGGGTTTGAAAAAGCCCGCATAGTAGAGATAATGAAGTTCGTGCGAATCTAGGTTGAAAAAAACTGGAATTTCGAGCTTAAAACTGGTAATCTACTCTAGCTTTCTCTTTCAATTAAGAATTACATAACTATGATATACATTCTCAGAAACAAACGAGATAATTACGTGCCAGATTAATTATCAAAGTTTTATTCAACGTTTTTACATCATTAAGTAATAATATATAACACAAAACGCAAATAAAAAAAAAAGATTATAAATATAATATAATATAATCGCATAAAAAGTTAATACATCTTCAATAAACAATTCATTTTTTCCCATCAACTTTTTCATTTATATATTCTTGGGTATTGCGATCGTCTTTTTATGATGCTAACTGCACGCTAGCTCATATTTATTCTTGATTGGATTCGTGAGTGTGAAGATAATGAAGTTCACGGTGCGACGAATCTAGATCGGAGAGATCTCGAGTTTAAAGCGATCAGGTGATTCAGTCCGCGTGATCCACTCGGATCCCTTTTATTCATCTCTTTCTCGATTTGAGAAGGGAATTATACAGCATTGACGGCACGACCAACAGACAGAGAGGGGGGAGGGAGAAGGAGAGAGAGAGAGATTTTCGCAAGGTGCTATTACGATTGCCTGTAATTGGCGAGTCTATGTGCCATTTTTAATTGCGGCCGCACTCGGACCGTTTCAATAGGAACGTTTCTGAACTACCCTTGACGGTGTCTCGTAATCACTATTCATTGATTTATTTGCCCATTCCCAAACCTACAGAGCGCATAAAAAAATAGCTTCTGATTAATTACTTCATAGATGTAAAAAGGTGAATACACTTTCAAACTTTTTCACGATTATACGTATATCTTAAAAAATCAATAGCTGTTAAATCGATCCTCTATATCTTATTGAGTGTAATACACTTGATGTCAGTGAAACTGGGCAAAAAGGTATATTTTTACATAACAGGATGCAATAATATTTATGTATAATACACAATAATATATTAGATAGATCGTATACATCATACATAAAAAATATTTTTTTAACCAAGAGAGACGTGAAATAGCGAGTGCATTTTTACAAGACACAAACGACCGTGTTTGCATACATAACTTACTGAAAATCCTTTTCGCGCAACAGTGACTTCGCTTACTCACAGCGCACGTAACAGTTGAATTATTAAAGTTATGATAACCCACCCGTTACGACATGCGACCCCGGCTTTCCTACGATAGCCATCAAATATTATATCGAGGAATATATAATGTTTTAATTTTCTTGGACGTGCATACTTTCCTAACAAATCTCGCAAAAATTCAATAGAAAAATGATGTTAATTTTATAAAAATTGAATACTGTCGAAAGATTATTATTGAAATTTTTATTGAAACTGTTGTTAACATTTTTATAAAAATTATCTACAGGAAAAAATTGCATTGAAAATAGATTAACCCATTAAGGATCAAGACAAATATTTTTTCTCAAAATTTAAAATCCTTTTAATGGCGAGCTACTTACTGCCCTAGGAGCCTACTTCGCAAAGTTGACCTATTTTTTGGTTGAAAAATTGACCAGTGGTTCTCAATGCGGGTTAATACCATAAAAAAATTATTATTGCAAAATCTTAATAAAATTTTTTGCCTCTAGGAATTACATCCGTATTATAAGATTTACAAACGTTTTTAGAAAATTGATTGTACATTTTTCTCTATATATAATTCTTAATTTCTAGTATTAAATATTTTGATCTTAAATTAAAATTCTTGCATTTCGTTGTCCATGTTGTTAAATATTTCTCTCAGCCCCGCCTCCCCCAAGACAAATTAAATTTTTATTAAGGAATAAAACTTAGGAGATTAATAAAAAATATATTTTATTTATTTCTAATTCTTTTTTTATTTAAAGTGAATAAAAAAGTCTTTCAAAAATGTTTGATTGTTGATAATTCAAAAATTATAAATATTCTCATCATGGAAGAATCGATTTTAAACTGGCCGAAGATATATGCCAATTTGCGTCGTCAATTCAGACACCCCGTATTTTTTTTTCACGCGGTTGTAGTGTTTGCACCAATACGCATTCGTTCTGACTGCATTTTAACGAGGCCCATTGTAGATCGGCTGAATAAAGTCAGACGGCTTCGATGATCGACGATAACAGCCTCGAGATCTCCGGTTGTGTTCTCGTCACAAATCAAAGCAGGCGATGCAAGGAAACGCCTGTATGAAACGCGTCACTAATCGATGGTGTGCACTGTCGATTGAATAAAATATCGCGGTGGAAGATCGATTCTATTAGCGGAGGTTTCTGAGAACCTTTGATACAAAGTCTTTGTATCATGGTCTAGCCGAAAAAGGAATTGTATCTCACGAAGAATTACGACTGTCACCTCGCGACTGTCAAAGGCTGCAAAAGAGCAAAACATGAAGAGGTCACCCGTCGCAGTCTCGCAAACGTTGATCCATCTTTCTTTATTCATTCCAATCTCTCCAGATTTATTATATTTTAAATTATATAAATTTGCCGTGTAAGTGTTATAAAGAATTAGCACGCCATCGAAATCATACGTATTTATGACAACTTATATCAATAGATTAAAGTAGAAATATATAAATATACTCTGTGATAAATTCGTAAACTCTAAATTAAGTAGCTGCAGGTTTGTAAATCCATGACTCTACGACTTGACTTGAAGAACGAGACAAATGACATGACATGGGTATCAGATAACATGAAATAGGCGTGGTAGATGATCCAATTGATCTGATTAAATCGTTTGGTTGAAAAGATGTTAATGCCATTCATTATAGCATTACATTTAAATTAATGTTTCAGATATATCCTTATTGATATAATAAGATAGAAATATAACTGATTATTATAAATAGAGTCTCATTTTTTTCTATCTTGTATCACTTTAATGTCTTAAATTCTTATTAGAAAAATTTTTTATTATTAAAATAAAATTTAATTTTTCAGAATTTTTTATTATTAAGGCTGACAATTTCTTTATTTTACATTTTATTTGTCTATTTCGTATATTAAAAAATGAAATACTTCATGTGATAATATTTCTGAAAAAATATGAATGTATTATAAATATATGTTTCTTACACACGCACACGCACGCACGCACGCGCGCACACACACACACACACACACACACACACACACACACATACACAGAGAGAGAAAAGTCACTTATCGTTTAATTTATCAGAAAGGTATTAAAAAGTTTTTTGTACGATTAGCAGAAGATTTATTATAAAAGTAAAGATTAAAATTATATAGATATATTCATGCAAGATAGAAAATGCAATAAAAGCTCGAGACTAATGCTTAAGTCTTTATAAATTGTTTATTTTTACAGAGATGGCGTAGAAGCTTTAAATTTAAAAATGATTATAAAGTTAGAAATGCCGAGCAAATTTTTTGCTCTCGAACGCTAACGCTAATGTAATAAAATCTGAACGGCTGTTCCCTATTAGAAATGAAATCTCTCTTTTATTGTCCAGAGGAAATTGTGTGATGTTGGGAAGGAGATAGTGAAAATATTAATTTTCTAAAGAATGAAATCTATATGAATTTAATTATGTGTAATTGTGCACGTATAATATTAAGTCTGAGAATAATAAACGAACAATTAGATGTCCTAGAGGCTCTCGAAGAGGAATCAATATTATAAGGTCATTTATGCCAGCGCCAGTTATTAATGTATCACGAGATTTTTATTCAGCTCTTTTATATACTATTCGCAAGAGATTGTTGGCAAATTATATTTGATTATCAAATATTTACTTAATTTTATTAAGACATCGTATACAGTTTCTTTGACGAATCATCGGTGTCTTGCAGGAATGTCAACCAGAATTTCTGCGTGATATCGTTCTGAAGATGAAGGCTTCCATATTTACACCTGGCGATACTATTTGCCGGAAGGGCGAGGTTGGTCGTGAGATGTTCATAATAGCCGACGGTATACTGGAAGTGATCAGCGAAAAGGGCAGAATACTCGCGACAATGAAGGCTGGGGACTTCTTCGGCGAGATTGGTTTACTCAATTTGGACGGATTGAATAAGTGAGTAAAATTCTTCTGGTTCTTTTTCTGCTCGGTATGATAGCGTCAAGATCTGTAATAGATTCACTTCTCATTTCGTGAAGTTGAACTAGACAATTACACGAGCTGTAAAAGAAATTCGCTTTTTCACATATAAATAATTATAAAAAAAGACTGAGATATTTTAGAAATGCAAGAAATATTTTTGAAGAATTTACCTTTTTAAACAATTTTAATTGTAACCGTAAAATTTTATGTCTTCTTAATTTCGCATACTTTATGAAAGCTAAATTCTTAAAATCGAAAATTTGAAAAAATTTTCAGACGCACAGCCGACGTTCGTTCGCTGGGTTACTCCGAGTTGTTTAGCCTATCGCGGGAGGACTTGATGGCGGCGATGACGGACTACCCGGAAGCGGAAGTAATCCTGCAAACTCTCGGCCGAAAGAGGCTGATGGAAGCACAGAGAATAGCGCACGAAATGCGTCAACCTGCATCCCCCGGTCATGATTCGTCCGACAACAGCACCAGTAAGAAGATCGTCAATAAGCTGAAGAGTGACGTGAAAGGCCTGAAAAACGTCCTGCGGAAGGGTAGGCGCAACACTCAGCCGGAAGACAGCTTGGAGCTTCAGCCATTGGCGCCAAAAGTGCCAACGCTGAAACGGCAGCAGAAGATCGACGACGGCCAAGACCCGTCTTTGTCTAATACTCAGGAGCAGCTGGAGTCATCGCTGGGCGCCGGTCTTCCGCTGCTGTCCGAGCTTAAGACGTTGAAAGAAAAGGAGGAGAGGGAGGAATGGCATAATTTGACGGAGACATCGATTAATACGGTAGAACTACATGTACCACCAGTCTCGGAGGCCTTGGACCCCACCAATCCGAACTTGCCGTTTTTGCAGAGGGTACTTCAATTAAAAACCGAGCACGAAACCACTCAAATAGAGAGAGAAGTGCCCAAGGAGTCTCTGCCTAAGAAAACCATTCCCGAGGAGATGAGCACGCAATCGGACGAGCAATCGTCCTCAGGTGGTCAGAGTATTGCTGTGACTACTGTGACTATAACCTCGCAAGTCGAGACACACACTGTGTGCAAGTTGATCAATTCCTGGACCAAGCTGAAAAATGCATTATTGACTTTGGAGGATAATTCGTCGCAGAGTAGTTCACCGACCAGAAAACTCTCCAGCTTCTGCAATGAAAGGCAAAAGCTGAAAAAAGCAACTAGGAGCTCATCCCTCGATTGCGGCAATAACGTCGAGCCAAAGTTTGGCAGCAACCTCACAAGAAGCCACTCGGACACCTGTGTCATTGAATACATCAGGAAGCTGGTTAAATATAATCAAGTAAGTAGATTTTTAATACGTAATGAATTTTTTATAAATACATTTTTTAATAAATTTTTTGTACATTATTTTAAGTATTGCTACATGACGATGATACTGACCAACGTCAACCGTCTTCGACGTCGACTGATGCCGACGACATGGACCGACTTCAATTACACCGACTAACGACGCCGACCAACGCCAACTGTCTTTGACGATGCCGAGTAACGCCAATAACGCTGACTGACGCCAACGACGTTGACCGACGTTGACGACGCTGATCAACAACGACGACGCAGACCGACTATGACGACGCCGACTGACGCTGACGACAACGACGACGTGGATCGACTACGACGACGACGATGACGCGAACCGACTACAACAACACCGACCGATTTCAACTGTTGGAAAATACTTTATAAGAGGAAATGAATTAGCTATAATATATATTCTATCATAGCTAATTCATTTCCTCTTATAAAGTAGAAGTACAGTAGAGAGACTTATAAAGTAGTAGTAGTAGTAAAATACAGTAGATTACGAATACAGTACAAACCGGGTTATAGATAAGACCAGTAGGTTAATTATGTATAGATTTACAAGAATATAATAAATGCTACCCGGGCATGCCAAGTATCTGCTTTACTATGACAATCCTCTATAATTCTGTAGTCTTTCTTTGAACAGTATTTTTAAAAATACAATGAAAAATTAAATGAATAGTATGAAATAAAATTTATTTAGATTTAGTTTGTTGAGAAAAAAGGAGAAGCCTCAATTTGGCGACTTCCGGAGGGAGGAACAATACAATATTGCTTAAAACGAAATATTAAATATTTTGTTTACAAGTGCAATTAAATGTTACAAACTGCAGAGGAAACTTTTCTGTGAAGTTTAGATAATGCATCGACAATGACGACAATTAATAATTTATAACTCTTAATAATAAATGCTATGCATTATTAATAATTTATTTCTTGATAAGAATTATTAATCAAGAGATATAATAAACGCCAAAAAAGGACTTTAAACGACGAAAAAGGAATTAAAACACGATATAATTGTATAATTGTTTTGATAACAAATTTTTCCATTTAGAATTTTGTTTTGCACGATTGGGTAAGTTAATATTTTTTTTTTTAATTAAGTTAAATTAAAGTTAATAGTTTACAAAATTAATAAAATTAAATTAAGAGTCGAAGGAATAAAAATTTAACTTAATTAAAGTTAAGTTAAGATTGAATTAACTTACGTTTAAAAAAAAAGTTAATTTTGAAAAAAATTATTTTTGAGATCAGAATGTTCTAATTTTTTTTTAATGAGATTACTTTAAACACTTACAATACAGATTATTAGGTAAATTTAATTTTTTTATTCACATGTATAAATTACACTTACATATAATAAAAATCACAGCATAAGGTATCGTCAAAATCTTGCGAAAGAGAAGAGTATATATTTGCATAATCTCTTTTTCTTTAATCTTTATCTAACTTCTTTTAACTGAAACGACTCCTCACGTATGTTTACGGCTATGTACATCAACTGGATTTGTTACAAAAAAATATACGTAAAAATTTAGAAAATAGATGGATATGCAGTACTGTTTTACAACAATTCTTTATCTGGCTCATTTAATATTTATATTGCTGAAATATAATATTTATAACATCTAAAATTAGTGTGATTCAAAATAAGCGGGAATTGACAAAATCTAGCGAGTCAATAAAAACTGGCTATCGTATGGTGTGACTCTTATTATAGAGTCTCTAATCATAAAATCATTGAACTTTTTCTAAATTAATTCTCTAATGTTTAAGATTTAATAAAAAAAAAAATTGGCGGGGATAGAAATATTTTTAATTTAAAAAAGTTAGTAAATTCTTTTCGCGGGTTTCCTCCGTGTCCAGATCTATTCTTGAGATGCCAACGTTTCGTGAACCATGAACCTTGCAATCCATTTCATCAGGGCGAGGGGCAGCCTGATACTGAGCTCTTCCTCCAGGCCGTTCCTTTTTATATTACAAGCGAGTATTAGAGCGAAAAGGACGGCCGCTCTCTCTCGCTGTCTCGCTTCCTCTAGTATCGTAGTCACTTGTTATAAGCGATCGAAAACCGAAAATGTACTTTCTCGGCCGCTCGGCATATTCCTGTACAGGGTGTCCTGACCTTTTTTGCCAATCACTTTTGTGTAGATAGAGCGAATTAAACTGAGTCGGAAAGTCCTCTACCATTTTGCAATTTTCGCAATAGTTAACAAGATATTAATTACTAAAAATTGCAAAATATTAGTATTGAATAATTTTTTACTCAAATACTATCAACTTTACAGAAAAACTGCAAGAGACAAAAATTATTTATTTTCTTTTCATATAAAGTTCTGAGAATTTTTTCAGAATTTTTTAATATCGTATTTTTTCATGTTGATAAAAATAAGAAAATGCAGTACTAAAAAGTTGATAAAAATTTCTGAAAATATTCTCAAAACTTTATGAGAAGAAAATAAATAATTTTTATCTCTAGCAGTTTTTCTGTAAAGTTGATAGTATTTGAGTAAAAAATTATTCAAAACCAATATTTTGCAATTTTTAGTAATTAATATCTTCTTAACTATTGCGAAAACTGCAAAATGGTAGAGGACTTTTCGACTCAGTTTAATTCGCTCTATTTACACAAAAGTGATTGGCAAAAAAGGTCAGGACACCCTGTACAGGAATACGCCGAGCGGCCGAGAAAGTACATTTTCGGTTTTCGATCGCTTATAACAAGTGACTACGATACTAGAGGAAGCGAGACAGCGAGAGAGAGCGGCCGTCCTTTTCGCTCTAATACTCGCTTGTAATATAAAAAGGAACGGCCTGGAGGAAGAGCTCAGTATCAGGCTGCCCCTCGCCCTGATGAAATGGATTGCAAGAGTAAAAGTGGTGGGGCTGGATTCCGTGTAGCCGGGAGCCAAATGTGCATCACTGCTCAGTATCAAGATGTCTCTTTCATTGGCAAGGTGGGTGTCGAGGTTCGTGGTATCAAGAATGGATTTTGAGGAAAGCAACAGGAACCAAAAAAAAGTTAGTAAATTAAAATTTATATATAAAAGTAACTAAAGTTAAAAATTTATGTATTTAAAATTAACGAAGTTAAATTAAAAGTCACTAACTTTTTAACCTTTTTTTTTAAACTTTTAACGTTTTAATTAGTTACTGCTCTCAATTCTGTCGACTGTCGTTTTGTAATAGGATCGACAAGGGACACCGACACCGGAACTATCGCCAGAAAATGAGACACCTGAAAGACAGCGATTGAAGAGCATTTTGAAAAAATTGTCAGCCAGCAGTAGGGCTGACAGTTCCGAGACTTCTGCGACGAGTACGCATGATCACGGTGCCGCAACCGCCGAACTGGAAAAGCTGATGAGAGCGCCGACAGTTGAGGGTTACGCCGTGCGGCACTCAAAGCTGTCCAAGAGTGTGACTTTCAACAAGTACACGATGGATAGCCCGCCGTTCGAGCAACATTTACAATCGTCGACGAATTATCCGTTGTCCAGCACCCAGGATCAGCTGTCAGTGCCGCTATCCAATAAATTTAGTGCCCGTCCTGTGAGCAGTGCCGTCTCGACGCAAACGACGCAGCAGGAGGAGTGCTCGAACAAATTGCTCTATGGGATCCTCGAGTCCATCAAGACAAACATGGTGAGTGAGAAGCGCGACTGCCGTTTCCTTTGTCTCCGGTTTCAATAGGTGAGCTTTGTGTATCGCTCCTTGTCATCACGTGGGAGCGCCTTTGTCAAAGGGCTGCTCTCGCGAGAGACGTTCCGATAACACTCTTCAATATCGATATTTATTGATAGTACAAATAATCGGCGGAATTTATCGACGAAAATAAATTCACGCTTATATATTAAATTCTTTCTTATTAATAATTTATTTTTAATTTTGAATTGTTTTTGATCTGCTATTATATTTTCTGCTCCTATGAAACAAAGAAGACTATGCTCGCTCGTGTAATTCTGCAAAATTAAACCCATCACCGTTTTAAGCATGTTCCCTAAAATCCTGAACTTGGTACCTCTCATCACCAGATGTATGCTCATCAAGCCCATCAATTATCCAACTCTGCTTGCAGAAGTTCCCTATTACCGTATACGGCCCGTTGTCTTGATTAATCATTAATTAAAATACACAAGAATAAATAACGGGCAATTAAGAGCCTTAAAAAACGCAGTAATTCGTGCGGTACTTATATACATATAATTAAAAAATGTTTATTACATGAACGTTTCGGCTATGTTCAAACCATCCTCAGCATTTTGCAGTTCCTAATCCTAACAAGAAGACGATCCAAAGTTCAAACCATGGAGTGCAGTAACTAAATCTCACGGATTACCTTATCCGGAGAGTGTGTGTAACCCTCAATTAGTTGATTAACTGAATGATAATTAAATCAAACAAAATATCGTTAGAAATAAATATTAGAAGACCACAAATTATATGGAGATTTACTTACTGTACACCATAACTGCACAAAAATATATATTCCATAAATTCAGTTGACAAGAAAAAAGTATTAAATAAATTACAAGACGACATAACGTTCGCAGTGTCAATCGTAAAGTCAACTGTGAAATCAACATTAAGAAATACAAAAATAAGAACAGTTGTCGTAAGTCATCGAATTGAAACATATTGTAGATAGCTGCTTCAGAATATTTAAACCAATCAGAATTTATTTATTATGTTCGTATAAGCATGGTGTAAGAACTCCGTGTCTGATTTCAAATTTAAACCGTTGTCTTGCATTTTGATATTCAGCATTTCAGACACCAATATATCTCTCATTATCTAAAATTTCTGTGTTAACCCAATCAAATTCATGTTCCAATTGTAACCTATGTTCAGAAATAACAGATAAATTCCCACTCCTTTTGTTAATATCATTTTTGTGTTCATTAATTCTCGTCTTTAATTTACGGCTGGTCTGTTCCACATAAGAAGCGTTGCAATTTTTACAATTGATTTTGTAAACAACATTCTTCTTCGATTCATGAGAAAGACTATCTTTTTGTACTTTAATAATTCCGTCAAGTTTATTTAAACTAAAGAAGGATAATTTAACATTCAAATCTTTGATAATACTCTCAAATTTGTCATAAATACACGGTAAAAATGGAATAGTAAATCATGAAGTTATTTTATTATCTATGTTAGGTTTGTCAGTTTGTTTCAAGTGTCTTACGTTTTAAAAGCGATCTTAATCGTAAATTGATCGTGTCAAAAATAAAATTCAAAGGGTAATTATTGTCCAAAAATGTCTTGATAATAAACTTGAAATTATCAGTATGATATTTTGGATGAGATAATAAAAAAGCTCTGTCCACCATGTTCATAAGAACACTTCTTTTTTGAAAGAGGGTGAAGAGATAAAAAAACTGAGATACCTCCCGGAGAAAGTTAACTTGTATACTTGTATACTTGATATATATATTAAATTCCAATTTTCCATTCATATTGATTATCGTCACGTCTAAAAAATTCAATCGGTCACTACCAACCTCTAAAGTGAACTGTAACCTAGGATGAAAAGAGTTAAAATAACTCTAGAAATTCATCAATTAAATGATTAGGAATAGTAGTCGCAATGTCATCTACATATCTAAAATAAAAGGGTAACTCAGTTCCAGATCTCTCCAACATTTCATTCTCTAAGCCCTCTATAACCATATCTGCAATGATGGGAGACAACGGAGAACTCATGGGTGTTCCAAATTTCTGAACGTAAATTCTATTGTCAAAAGTAAAAAAGGTAGACTCTAATATTAATCGTAAAGCTTTAAAAAATTCATCTTTTGATATACCACAGCTGCGTGTAATAAAATGCCATCTGTTTGACACACTTTTTATAGCCAAATCTAACGGAATGTTAGTGAACAAAGATATTGCGTCTAAAGAAACCAATGAAAAATTATTATTTAAATAAAAACCATTAAGTTTTTCAACCAATTGAAACTGTTATCAATGTGGCTACGTAGTTTAGGAACATTCTTTATGATAATATTATGCAAGAATGAAGCTAATGAATAACGAAGAGAGTTATCAATAGACGAAACAATAATTCTCAAAGGACACCCCTCTTTGTGAATCTTGGGAAGTCCATAGACTCTGGGAAGGATCCCATCACTGCAATACAATTTTTTGTACAATTTCGAATCAATATACCCACGATTTTTCCATCTCGTCGATAACATTCTCACTGATTCAATCAGTTTTCTAGTTAGATCCCTATTGATTACTGTGTACGTGCTGTTATCATCTAACATATTAAGCATTTGTCGTTTGTACTCATCTTGGTCAATTGCTACAGTAACATTACCCTTGTCAGCTCTCGTAAATCAAATATTTGAATTCTTTTTAATGAAACTCTTAGTGATTTTAAGTAAAAAAGAGTTAATCTTTTATTGATGTCATGATTAACCGGTTTCGTAAAAGCAATTTTCTGTATCAACGAGATTGCTCGATTTCTCACATCCAACACGCAAGTATTGCTTAAGCTTTTAACATCGTTTTTGACGGATTTAATCAATTCAACACAATTTTTCTTCAAGTTGAATGAAGGTAAAGAAAAATTACTCCCTAATTGTAAAAGACACTATATTTCAGTCGGTATGGTAATTTTAGACAAATTAATGAACCATTTATTCCTAACTGAAAACAGTGCTGATTGTTCATTAAAATTAAAAAAGGAAACCGGTTTTATGTCTCCCTCTACTTTGGAATTATTGTTGTTGTTAAAAGAACCTGAAGTTAAACTGTTAAAAAACGAAAACGCATTCTCACTAGAACAAGTCCAAAAATATTGAATCGGTTTAATCCTAGAAATCATTACTTTATTATGTTTAAAAATCAGCCAATTAATTTTTTTGTCAAGTCTCTTAAGTTCATCTTTGTGTTTTAAGTTCAGAAAATTGTTTTGTTTTGTAAAAAATGACTCACAAAGATAATAAGGGATCCAACTAAAAATCTTTCTCATTAAGACAGCCGTCTGTTTTTCAGAATTATGTAGTGTTCTAAATGCATCATTGAGTTCCACATTAACCTTCTGACCGCCGGCATTTTTTCTTCTAGAAAAGTGATACTTGATCGAAAATTTCCATACAAGTGTCTCCCAACTAGTGGTAGATATATACCCATCACAGGTGCGCGCCTAAAGGCGTCATGCCGGCGGGCGGTGGTATAAGCGTATGCATCAATTTTCGGAAATTTTTTGCTCGAAAACGGTGCATTTTTGCGGAAAACTTGTAAGTGCCTTTTTTGTTCAGAATTTTGTGAAGTATACGAAAAAATTTTTGTTCTGAGAAAATTGAGTTTTTAATTTTTTTCCCGCAAATCGTCAATAGAAAATCTTGAACTTTTCGACTCGCACTGGACTAATCTGTGATTATTCAT